AGATTTTTTAATACTAACGTGTGTATGAAAGCTCTTGTAGTGAATTTTAATTTAGGATTATACGTGAAATTAAAATATCAATTCACAGAGGGCGCTACCTTACAATTATTTACTAATGACAAAATTTTACATATACTTAAGACGTTTAGGATAATTGTATTTTAATTTTGGAAGGTTTCACTTCTACCACGTGTGAATTGCACACATTTTGTTTTTTTTATTTCGTCTTTATAACAAATTAACCTCTTTTAAGATAATTCGTATAGAGGTTACATAAATATGATTGAAATCAATTTTATGGTTCGGCACCGAACTTGACCTCACGTCGCCTAAAAAATAATGATTACATGACACACAAAAATTATCTACTGCTTATCTATATGTTTTATTTTATTATGTAAAAATGAATTGCTGTTGGTTAGTCTCGCTAAAACTCGAGAGCGGCTGGATCGATTTGGCTAATTTTGGTCTTGAATTATTTGTGAAAGTCTAGAGAAGGTTTAAAAGGAAGAGAAATATGAAAATGCTCGGAGTTAAATAAAAATAACAATTTTGTTTTTCCTTTGATGCGGCCCCCGTCGGACGGATTCCTTTTGTTTGTTTTAAGTTTATTTTATACAAAAGTTTAGGTATTTTATTTATCGAATGAGGCACTACAAAGCCTGCCGAGTCAGCTAGTATTAAATAATAATTAAAAACTGAAATTTTTGCAAATTAAAAAAGAGTGTGAAAGTTCTTGTTAGTCTTAGACCACCTGCAGAGGTCGTCATTAATGACCTTCTTTTTTCGCGCTTCACCTCCCCTTAGCCTAAACGAAGAGATAAGGGGATGACTGAAGGGTTCCATTTTTATTTATTTATTAATCCGACGTTATGAATACTCCACAGCTGTCGCAATCACGGAAGAGACAACGTTTCTTCAATTCTAAGAATTAATGCTATTCACTGATGTTTCAGTGCTTAAAACGAATGCAGTGAGCAAGTTGGTGTTGGTGAATGCTGACACCGAATTCGAGGCTAAAATAGGCAGTTTGGTAATATTACTGTTACGCGCTGGGGTACGCGCGTAACGTTACCAAACCTTATAGTCCGTACATACCACCGTCTCCATCTTATCGTGACTGTTTCATTTTTAATACGTAATTTGCAATAATTTTTTATTATTAAAATATATTTTTTATTATTTTCGTGAATTTTTTGATAAATTGTAAATTTCGATTTACGAAATTTTGATACGTTTTCATGAATTATTATTTAATGCTTATTTCATACAATACAATTAAGATTCTTAGTTGCATTAATTTGTATTAATTGTTGTCACTTGAGCACCCCACAATTTTTTATTACGAGTCATATGGTTAAAATTGCATTTTATTAATTGTAAAGTAAGCAACTATTATTATTATATAATAATTATTGTTAATACAGTAATTACGGAAACATCCACGTTGAGTATTTGCGTAAAATTAATTAATTGCGCAGGGACTCGATCCCAGTTATGTATATTCACATCGCTAATACATAACCACTAGGCTAGGGTGTTTCGAAACAGGAAGACAATGAAACATTACAAACGTCTTTAGTCGGACAGAGCGAAGCCCCTGTTAATTGGTAACAAGGTATCTATTAATACGTGAAGCAAAAACTTTGTATCCCTTTTTACGAAAATTGCGCGGACGGAGGAGTATGAAATTTTCCACACTTATAGAGAGTATAGAGAAGAAGTGCACAATGCTAATATTTTTTTTAAATAATGCATAAAAGATACATAAAATCAATAAAGAAAACATTACACACACTACATACCATGTATTTGACGCACACACGCATGCATACTACTTATTGTCAAACTTTTGTTCTTGACGTTTGTTGTCAAATTGAGAATAGATTAAATATTGTTTGTCTTTGTTAATATTTTTTATAGTGTAGTCTTGGCGAAATTTGAGATTATACAAGTATAAAATACAATCATAATAGTGTACAAACTTACAATTCCAATTAATTATAGTCGAATTTCGACTTCTGCCGGACCTCTAGTACTTATAATTAGGTATTACGTCAAATTGCTATATACGAACCGAAAATCTGTAGTAATCTGTACAATCAAAAGGCATATACAGCGCGTGCCATTATTGAGAACAGCTCGATTGAACAACACATGAATACATCCAGAGCGTATTAGTAACGTTACCCTAAACGAAGACAGATGTTATGGTACTTTTTTTATGATTGAAGTTATACTGGTGGCCCGGAGGCCTTTCCAGTTTCACCAGGACAGGTGGGCGAGCAAAGGCTCAGCCAGAAGGGGTGGGATTTGCTAACGGCTGCCCGAGCGCCTCCGAAGGAGACTTAACAACTCAAGAGAAACTGCTTCGCGAATGAATCTACTACCGCATCGGAATCGCGACCCGCTGAGAAGATCCGGCGAGAAACTGAGCGAGCTGATGCATGGTTTAGGTTGCACGTCGACCTCTTTGTCGAGTTCGACGAGTACGGTTACCGGGGTTCCTCAGCCTGCTCCTTGTGTTAGAGCTGAAGGTATCTAATGCCAGGCATGTTATGATACATGATTGTATTTAAAAATTATTGTGCGATATTTATAAGGGTTTAACCAAACAATTTAGTACAAATTAAAGAGAAACTGATGCGCGAATTCCACTATCTAGGTGAAGCGTGCGGGACGGCTTTGTACGGACTCAAACAATCTTACTGAAATTACAAGATAAACAGTGTTTTCCGTTTAGGTGCTTTAGACAATTCTAGAACACAATTCTGATTCTATTTAAACAATTAAATGCTTGATTTTAATATTATGATTGCAAAAAAAGGAGCACGTTCTGTAGTTAAACATTGAAGCGACACGAAAATTTAAAAAGATTTGAGGTTTTTTTTCCTACCTAAGCTGAGAGCCTTGAGAGGCTATTTCAGCGTAACCTTAACTAGTAGGTGAGCTCACGGGGCTGAAACCTGATGGAGTTGCTAACACGAACCCTAGCAAGAGCCGTGCTTCGCAGAATCTACCACCGGATCGGAAACGCGACCCACTGAGAAGATCCGGCGAGAAACTTAGTGGACTGTGTCTAAGGGTTTTTGAGATTAGGTATGTAAAAATTACATATATTCAGAAAACATGCTCAATACAAATGAAGTTCATATATTCAATAAAATCAATTCTGGTATTTCGTAAATCGAATCGATAAATTCAAAATGCTTTAGCTACATTAAAACGAATCTGCCAATACTCGTCGACGATTTGGCTTATGATCGACTGAATATTTGATTAGGCTCCGTGATATAGTGGTTCATTCCGTAAATACGTTTGATAAAAACTTTATTGTGTACCTGCGTCAAATTTAATTGAATAGTATATAAATCACTGGTGGTAGGACCTCTTGGGAGTCCGCACGGGTAGGTACCACCGCCCTGCCTATTTGTGCCGTGAAGCAGTAATGCGTTTCGGTTTGAAGGGTGGGGCAGCCGTTGTAACTATACTGAGACCTTAGAACTTATATCTCAAGGTGGGTGGCGCATTTACGTTCTAGATGTCTATGGGCTCCAGTAACCACTTAACACCAGGTGGGCTGTGAGCTCGTCCATCCATCTAAGCAATAAAAAATAAATNAAAAAAAAAAAAAAAATCGTGAGCTGTTTACAAGAAAATATATCGGAATGTACTGCTATGTCCTTACTGTGGCTGCCATAAGGGCGGGGGGGGGGGGGGGTTATGCCGTAATCACCACGCTTGGCGGGTTGGCGATCGCAGTACTCGGTGCCTTGCACCGGTAATGCTGCTACCCGTTACCGACCAGGGGATTTCCGCACCAAGAGGTTTTTGTTGATGGTCATTCCGCCATCTATTGGTCGCCAGAGCCCTGACCGTCAATCAGCACGATGCACCACGTACAGGTAGGGTTGGCACTTGAGACAGTGTAGTGTTAATTTGCCTTATTACTAGATCGGGTTCAGTGGCGCGCTTTGGGGGAGGCCTACGTCCTGCAGTGGACTGTCGCAGGCTAATGATGATCCTGACTGTGTGAGTTTTTTTAATAATAAAGACTGAAAATCGTTTACTCAGTACTTTGCGACTTACGATTATAAAACCCAGACGGCGTTACGAGTCACGGATCGATCCTAATTTGTCTCAATTCGAACTTCATGTAACTATTTGTTTCTAAATTTCCAATAATGTGTATAAGAGTCCTTTTTTCAACAGATAATTTCGAGATCCCGTATAACAAACAAACAGTAGGTACGTACGGACGTAGCCTGAAAAGGTATTTGAAGTTCAACGCTTAAGATACGGCTTAAGCGCCAGTTAGAACGTGAGCTATTCCATCAATGTGCAGTTTTGAAGCAGTCATAGCATTAATTTTTTAACGAGGCTCTGCCGAATCAATCTTCGCTACTTCAAATAAAAAAAAAACTATTTATTCTTCATCGATTCTTTTGAATGAAAAAAAAAGATAGGTTTATGCCTATCCCAATATACCTCTGAAAACGAAATCCTCATTATGACGGTTATCACACAAACATACAGGCAAACAGACAAAGACTTCTTAATTATATAATTGTTCAGTTATAAGAGAAACACATGAAAATAGCTTTATTAACCTCCATAGTTTTTAAAACAGTTTACTTTACCTGCGTCATTAACAACGTCGTTACATGATGAAGAGGTGGACCTACAGAAGTCCTAGAAAGCGTGTTTAGAATTAGCAAATAATAACAGAGATCGCAGAGCAAATTACAAAAAAATTGACTGATTTAAATCTTAATACCGAATTGTTGTCGTGTATCTTTGGCCAAAGATCGCAAGCAGATATTCGCTGTGCCATTTATGCCTTCATATTTCCATAAAACCAATCAATCCAGCTGAAATAGATTTGCTCTTCAAAAAAAAATCCAGAATTGTGTTTGATTAAATATAAAATAATAAAAAAATGATTTTCCTGAAAAGACGGTAGTTTACGGAAATATGTCACGCGATGTCATTGAACTTACATTGTGTCTCGGTGACCAGGAGTTGCACATCAGCGACGCATCCTCCAATATCCGACTCTGCAAACAAAAAACTCATATCGTTTATTAAATTACATTATTTTTATTGAAATGTTTGTGAATTGTGCACGTTAGTTTCGGCAATTCCGATATTAACTTAAAATCGGAATATAGTATGTCATTGTTTAATTTTTTAGCTCTTTTTGAATTCACTTTCGGAACTAGGGTTCACGTGCGTGCGTGTTCCACATTCTTGTTTATGAATTAATTATTAATTTTACAAAGGAGTCTATGTCGATAACAACGTTTTAAGTCATGGTCTTCAATTCTAAAAACTACCATTTTGTAGTTTTTTAGATTTCCGATTACCAATTGTCGTTTTTCAAGACTGAAAATATATTTTGCATTTTTTTTGTTTAGATCAAGCTGTCAGATTCTATCTAATACTAACACGCTTTCCCCAAAATCGCATTTCGCACATTATTACCGAATATATTTTTTATTTATTTAGCAGTAATATTATTGATGATGTTTCGATAATTTTAGCTTTCCACGTGGTAGGTGCGTAACTAACTACACGTCTCTACATCGAATAGAGTAACAAAACGAACAAACACCCGGACGTTTTGTAGTGTAATTATTTAAAATTTCATGAAACAAGGGGGCGTTAGCTTTGCAACGTTGTTTATAACTGTCGACCTTTAGCCGTTCAACACAATAAAGGAAAATGGTGCGAAGTGAAAAGAATTATCGAAGTTAATGTTAAAAAAAAAATGTTACTTTCCTAAGCAAAATGGTCTAGTACAAGTTATTTCACTTAAACAGTAACGAGATAAACTTGTTACCTTTATTCTTCGAAAATAAAAGTTATTAATAAACTAGGACAACAGTATCGACATTTCTTGAAACGATTCCCCCGTCACTAGCCAGACATTAAAGTGACAGTGGGGAAAAGTGGGATAGTTACTTTAAAATAAATTTTAGATATGTCCCGTGGAGCTATAACGTGGTCCTGCGCGCCGTAAGTGTTAGAGTTGTAAGCGCATCCGTAGAATGTGTCACGTGAAAATTAATAAAAAAAAATGATGTCACTTAATTGACTTTAAGTACCCACAGTTGCATAACAATTGAATCGTGAAAAAAAACATTTGTTAACTTCTTATTGACAACCCTAACTCATTGGTCTCTCGATTAAGAAGATCGATAGTCTTATTCGTTCGAAGAATTGAAAGTATGGAGTATGATTGATTTCGAAACGTTCTGTAAACATTACGGTAACAAACCTATTACAACGCGTTTGACGGCAATTCAAACGATCTAGAATGATCCTTCGGTAGGGGGCGTAACAACACACTTTGTCATACTTCTGCTGTGAAATAGTCAAAGGATTAATTAATAATCTGTAAATTGATAGTTAGTTCGTTTGTTTTTCATTTGATAATTGAACGATCTCACGACCAATATGGTTTTGAGCGGATACCGATAAGAAATACTCTTACTGTCCTGTGTGATATTTTAAATTCGAACCGCTTAGGCTGTCCGTTTAAGCCTCAGAGTAGTCGAATCAAAATGTTTTATTTAGTTTCATTTAGTAAACTTAGCCTGTACAGTCAAGTATGTATTTTAAAAAATGTTTTCATGGGCAACACAAATCAAAAGGTTCACTTGAAAAAAACAGGTTATTAAAGTTTAGATATTTTCCACCAGATATAGCTTTAAATGCGGCATTTTGTTTTTAACTGGAATATAACTCTATAAAATGCGATCTATAGTCCATTGAGTTTCTCGCCGGATCTTCTCAGTGGGTCGCCTTTCCGATCCGGTGGTAGATTCTGCGGAGCACGGCTCTTGCTAGAGTTCGTGTTAGCAACGACGTCAGGTTTGAGCCCCGTGAGCTCACCTACTAGTTAAGGTTACGCTGAAATAACCTCTCAAAGCTATCAGCTTAGGTAGGAAATTAAAAAAAGAAAGCGATGTACAACAGCATTTACACGATTAATGTTCTCAATAGGTCGCGATTCCGATCCGGTGGAAGATGCTACGAAGCACAACTCCTGCTAGGGCTAGTGTTAACAAATTCTTTAAGGTTGAGCCCGTGAGCTCACCTATCCGTCCGGGTGTACCTGGAATAGCCCCTTAGGCTACCCGCGAATTTGTAGGAGAAAAAAGAAATTATACGATTACGTAATTTACGTATTTGATAGGACCTCTTGTGAGTTCACACGGGTAGGTACCCCTACCCCGCCTATTTCTGCCGTGAAGCAGTAATGCGTTTCGGCTTGAAGGGTGGGGCAGCCGTTGTAACTATACTGAGACCTTAGAAGTTATATCTCAAGGCGGGTGGCGCATTTACGTTGTAGATGTCCATGGGCTCCAGTAACCACTTAAGACCAGGTGGGCTGTGAGCTCGTCCACCCATGTCAGCAATAAAAAAAACCTAATTTTTTTCCCTAGAATATTAGTTTAGAAAGTTGCTTTCCTCATTACATAAAGATATCTAAATAATATCAGTATTACATTATAATTTAGAAATGAATATTAATGAACTTATAAAATGACTATCCCTTTACGAAGTCTCACATTGACCGGTGGCTCCGTTTCCGGATAAAAAAATAAACCAACAAACCCACTTTCGTAATTGTAATACTGCTCCAATTATTAATAGAATTGGATACATTCGTGATCAAGCAACTCGATTTTAAACATCAAAATATTGGGAGTATTATGTATTTGTTGTCTCTATGGGATATTTTTCAAGAAATAAGAAACGGTGTCCGTGCGTTTTTTTTTTCTTGCTTAAATGGGTGGACGTGCTCACAGCCCACCTGATGCTAAGTGGTTACTGGAGCCCATAGATATCTACAACGTTAATCCGCCACCCACCTTGAGATATAAGTTCTAAGGTCTCAGTATAGTTACAACAGCTGCCCCACCCTTCAAACCGAAACGCATTACTGCTTCACGGCAGAAATAGGCAGGGTGGTGGTACCCACCCGCGCGGACTCACAAGAGGTCCTACCACCAATTTGGCTATTTGAGCGGGTTAAATACATATTCACTAGAATTAGGTATCGTGTTTTATATTCGAGTCATTGTACGTATCAGATATAAATAAACGGCAACTTTACAACGCTTACTTTAAACTGCACTACTGCGTTTTATCTATACTAATACTAATACTAATATACTAATACTAATAATATTATAAAGAGGAAAGATTTGTTTGTTTGTTTGTTTCGAATAGGCTCCGAAACTAATGGACCGATTTGAAAAATTCTTTTTCCATTAGAAGCCGACATTGTCCCTGATGAACATAGGCTACTTTTTTTTTATTTTATTTTTATTTTATTTTTTTGGTTTCATGTGTGTTTTAATGTTTCCGAAGCGAAGCGAGGGCGGGTCGCTAGTTATTCATAAAGTGAATTCTATAATTTTGTTTGAAGAATATATTTTTTCATGCGAATATTGATATTCGATGCGCTGTCTCTAACTATGTTGTTTGTCACATGTATATAATGCTTTAAGTCTGACGTTTATTAACCCATAGACACAGCCCACTGAGTTTCTCGCCGGATTTTCTCAGTGGGTCGCGTTTCTGATCCGATGGTAGATTCTGCGAAGCACTGCTCTTGCTAGGGCCAATGTTAGCAACACTCCCGGCTTGAGCCCCGTGAGCTCACCTACACGTCAAGGAGAAGCTGAAATAGCCTCACAAGGCTATCAGCATAGGTAGGAAAAAAATCTGAGATTTAAGAAAACCATTCACGAGAGAGATCCAATATTTAAAATTTATATCTTTACATATAAATCATATTTTTTTTGGTATCTTCCGTTTTTTGGTCTTATTTTAAAGAACAATTTGAGTTTTACGGTTGAAAGTCAAAACTTCAAGCTAATTAATACTATGTAAAATAAAGATTCTAAAATCAAATCTTCAACAGAAAGTCGGAAGCTCAACAAAGCACGCAACAATGAGGCGAGCTCGGCTTTTGTGAGGCGAGCTTGCGGCGAACCTCTCGGAGGGCTAACAGAGTTTCCTCTTTGGAACACAGTTAGTTCGTGACGGCCTTATATTTCCTGTCAACCGAGCTTATGCTTCGGCTTCAATGGTTTGCTTTAAAATTCATGTAACGTCTGTGTAGCGGGTACCGTGAACTACAAGGGCACTTGAGAAATTAAAAACATGGTTTTCTCGTCGGTGTCTGCGAGACGTTAAATATTCACAAACGCCCACACTAGACCCCTATTTTATTTATTATTCTTTCGAATACAAATACATATGTTTTAATATTCGTCTGTGACGGACTATACAATACTTAAAAAATAAATACCAATATTCCCTATCGCCAAAGTTAACGACTATTTTAATGTCGCAAACTAAGCTACGAATTGCTTATTAAGTTTCTAATTTCCAAAATAATTCACAGATTAATTTCATTCTCAGTCTTGCTTCAATTTGAAAATACTTAATCACCATCCAGCGTAATCGTAAGTAAGTACTCTGCCTTTGTAGAATGCATATAATAGCCATTTATGTTCAATATATTTCATGGCCTAATAAATAAACATAACAATTCTATGGTACTTACACGTTGCTTCAAACGAATCCGTCTCACTGTACGCGTAATTAAAGAAACGATTGGAATTGTGAGAAATTCTGACGTGTTTAATAAGGCTTACGAAATAGCTCCTCACATTACACTCATGACTGAGCAGACACGTATAGTGACTGGTGTAAACTAACCTCTGGAGACTTTAAAATTAATACTCCAAGTGATGCAATAATGATAGGTGTATTATTACAGCGCCATGTCTACACTAGAATCTGGTACAAAACATTAAATCTTTTTCATTAGACAAGCCTCTATGAGGACTGTGTCTCTGTATTCACAAAGACTTTCCGAGTCATCAAATAGAAGTGGAATAGAGCTTCTTAGCGAGAAAAATAAGTAAGGCCACATTTATTCTGGATTCTCCAAATATTATTTAGTTTTAATTCATAATTATAATAATATGTGATGGAATTATGATAAGTCTATTAGACAACATACTTTCGGTTG